TTCTCACCCTATCTCTAAGGGAATAAAGACAACCAGTCTTAAAACGAATGTTCTTAAATAAAGATGGATGTTCTCAGAAGATTGAATACATAAATATATTTTTAATTAAATAATTAATTAAAAATAATTATATCATAAATATAAAATTAGACAGCACGGTGGTACAGTTGGTAAAGCAACATGTTGCCTATAAGGAAGAAGGTTGTTAGATCAACTTTATGGTTTGTGTTTACATGTTCTTTCTTGATACTCTAGTTTCCTCTCACAGACCAAAATCATATTTATAAATCTTATATTTCATGAAAAAAAATACTGTAAATAAATGAATAGTTTGGGATAACGCTACAGTAGATGTGGTTTGTAATTGTGCTTGTTTTAGTCGTTATTTCCAGTTTTGGGTGTTTATAATTACAGGCTTTGTTCACAAAAGTACACATCAACAAAAAAAATAAAACTGTTTTAAAATACTGTACATAGAAGAGGTAGTGGCTTTAAAATAGAAAAGGCTTGTTCCTAACTGTTTTTATAATGTATAGTTTGACTTTAAAAAAAGAATATGAAAAACAGCCCATTAATTATATAATCAAATTTGTTTGGCCCCCACGTTTACCATAAAAAAATACTTCACACGGTGTTCTTTCTTTTGCTTAACAAACAAGTTCATTCCACTTTTATAGAATACCGACACTAAGTGTCAACGTATGTATTTAAAAGCATGTTGAACAACCTGTTACCAGAATGCAGGAAATAGCATCTGCTTCATTCAAAGTTTATGGGGAGGACCCCCAGACACCCGTGTGTGGTACAAGTAATAACAAGGACAATTTAAGGCACTGCATGTACCTCATGTTAAAAAGAGATTAGTGAAATTCCAAAAATGATTAGAGTTTTGTTTTCTGTTTCAAAAACAAAAAGGTTAATTATTTAAAACTGAAATGAAAAAAAGGCATGTTTGTTCACATTCTATGACAAGTTGTGCCTACTTACTGTACCCCCAAAATAATTTGTTCTCCCACCAAAAGGGGTGCTCGTAGTATCAAAGTTATTCAATGAACATCCCATTACAAGTATATTTGCCAAGTATTTATCATCAGATCGATATCAAAGTAGTAGTACTGCCCATCCATTACTGAAAGGAAGAGTCGGAGGATGCAACCTGACAGAAAAAAACCACTGATTCTGTCAAAACTCAGAGGGGAAAAAACCTTTCTGCTCACAGAACAACTGTACAACGCACTAATGGAATAAAAGTTATCTTAATTTGCTTTTTGCAATCCATGCAATAGCCTACATGTGCTCAGTAAGAGATTTAATTGGCCAAAAGTCACACTCTGCAAAGCCAGTGGTCACAAAGCGACAATCAGCCTTTTATTTACAGAAATGAACATTTTACAATGCAGAACTGCCATGTGAGTGCCCCTTCTGGTGGGGAAACATTATTTTGGGGATAAGTTGGCACAACATATCATAGAATAAACAAGCCTTTTATCATTTCAGTTTTAAATTAATTATCTTTATTGTTATTTGAAACAGAAAATAAAACACAAATCACTTTTGAAATTGTCCTTATTATGATTTGTTTCATTGGCATCAGAAGTATTTGTAATGTTGGGGCTCTATTTCGGTCAGTGTATCTTTTGGTCATTGGATTTTTATTTTAGAAACGGGTTTTAAAAAAGCAAGAATTGAGTGGATATTTGATTTTTGTTTTAAAATACTGAAATTAAAATTAAAATTCAAAGCATGTCTCGTTCTTAGTGTCAAAAAGGGACAAACAAAATTTTAACAATGATTTGAGTTTCCTTTTCTGTTTCAGATAGCAAAAAAGAAAATTACTTTAAGACATAAAGGAAAAAAGGCTTGTTTATTTGTAGTCTACGACTATCTGTTCCTCCACTAGAAGGGGCGCTTGCCTGGCAGCTCTGCATAATTAAAGATTATTTTATGTAAATAAAAGGCTGAAACACAGACGTGTATGTCCATAAATGAGTTGTATGATGACTGTCGCTCTGTGACCAAAGCTTTGCAGAGGTAACTCATGTGGTTTTTGGCCAAATAAGTCTCTTTTAATGAACACATGTCGGCCACTTCCATTTTTCCTCAATAAAAAGCTAAATAAGATAAATTTGATTCCATTAGTGTGTTGTACGATTGTTGTTCTGTGAGTAGAAAGTTTTATTTTTGTCCTGAGTTTTCCCATCCTGAAATTCAACATCTGAAGTCTACTTTTTTCTCAGTTTGCGTCCTTCGAGTTTTCCTTTCAGTGAGGGGTGGGCAGTACTACGACTTCGACATTGATCTGATACCAAATAAATACTTGGCAAATGTATTTGCTACCGAAGTCAACATCAATGCTTTTTACTTGTGATGGGATGTTCATTGAATAACTTTTATATTGCAGACACCCCTTCTGGTGGTGAAACAGACTATTGTAGGGAGACAGTAAATTGGCACGACCTGTCATGGATTATGAACAAACAAGCCTTTTTTTGTTTCTGTCTTAAAGTAATTTTCTTTTATGCTATCTGAAACAGAAAATTATATGGAAGCCCATTTCCGCCACACTGATAAAAAATAAATAAAAACTTGTATCTCATAATTATGACTTAGCTATCTCATAATTATGAGATACTATCTCATAAT